CAGCTGTAGTTAAATTTATGTAGTGACTGTGTGCAGGTAAGTTTTCACCTGAAATCGTTTTACTTCCACCTGTTACCTTTGAAGAGTTTGCACAATACAAAAACCTTTCGACTATTTGAGTCCAAGTTCCAAAACCAAGTACTACTTCTGGTCTGGTAGAGTTCATTGACGTATAAATAGAACCTATAGGATATACTGTTTGAAGTATTTCAATCTTTAATGTTTGAAGCTCTGTTTTGTCTGCTTTTTTATATAACTTTTCTTCAAGTTCATTTACGTCAGAGATGCTATGTCTATGATATTTTTGTGGGTATGTTCCTTCTGTCCATGCGAAAATACGTTCTTTTGTTGCATCTACATATCCTTTTATCCATGTCGAGTCTGCTTTTGTATTCCTTAACTCTGTAACACCTTTCTCAAGCTCTTTCAACTGTTGTCCATCTTCCATTAAACCTCTGGTATGACTTGAAACCGTTTGTGTCAACATATCTACAGTTTCTTTGTCGGCTTTAAGGTCTAAACATCCTGAAACCCACCCTGTATTGGCTTTACCTTCTAAAATCTTTGTTGTCCTTTCATTATACCATTCAACCATTTCTTTAATTTTTTCATCCTTTTCATCCACATATTCCTTATCTGCCTTCTTCACTAACCCACTAGCCAGATATGCTAACTCATCGTCAACATACTCTTTGTCAGCTTTCTTTTCAACATCCTCTTTTGTTGCATATGTTGCATCTGCTCTGTCATGTTCTTCTTGAACTTTTTCAATGACATACTCTTTGTCAGCTTTGTTGTCAATATCTGCTTTCAAAAGAAGTTCATCTATAGGTTTCTCGTTTAAAGTTCTTTTTGTTGGATTTATACAAACAGTATGGTTCTTGTTGTCTTGAAATAGAAACTCATCTGTCATTGGGTTTAATGTCAGTTTTAAGTTTCCTTCTTTCAATGACTCAGATATCTTAGAATAGTTTGAAAAGTTTGTTGTGTTCTTATTTAGAGCTTGCAAAATGAGTTGTCGGTTGTGTTGTATTTCTCTCATAGACGCTGTTTCTTTCGACATTTTTATTCTAGATAAAATATGCTTCCAATAGAAAAAGAAAATTCAAGAGTTGCTACAACTAAACCATTAGATGAACTTTTTACTAATGTCGGTCAAAAGTTTGAGACAGAGACCGTAAAGCATGAAGGCTATCGTTTTGACTACCCATTAAGATGGCTAAGAGACCCATCTGTCACAAAAGCTATTGGCTTTCGTAGAATGAAGTTTGTGTCTGTAGAAGATAAAAGTTTTCCATTTATTGTAAGGTTTCATATAGATTATATATCTGAAGGGAAACGAAAAATGTGGGAAGAAATTGAGCTAATACAAGTTGACCTTTCATCTTCTCTACAGACTGCGTTAAAAAATATAGAAGATAAAATAAATTCATGTTATGCAAAATATGCTGATGAATATGCAAATACCGAGAGCACACTTTATGTGAGAATTGTATATGACAAACAAAATTCACAAGTGTCATTTCAAATCTACGAAGACAATCCAAAGAAAGACGAACAAATATATACAGAATTCACTGCAATGTCATGGTATTATTTGCAAAGAATGTTAAATCAGAAAGTCGAACTTCCTTTAGCAAATATTTACAGTCGATATGCAAGAGATGAACCATATTTATTTAAAGATGTTTTCGACCCAGCTGCTATTATTGTTCATGCTTCATTTTCTGGCGCCCAAAACTCTTTTTTATGCTTGGCAAATGACTTTTACGAAAAACCTACAAAGTTATACGAACCACCAAGTGGAAGTATTTCAGACTTTCAAGTATGGTTTACTACAGATGGAAGAAAAAGAATAATTCCATTATACCATGCGTTTTACTTAGAACTTAGTTTCATATACAACTACTATCGAACGGTAAAAATATAATTTTTTAATACGGTTGAGGTGTTGGATTTGGTTGCCAACTAGACTGTGGTGCAGGTTCAGGCTGTTGTATAACAGGAGCTTGTTCTTCTGGTTCAGGGTCTTTAGGTATAATACCAACGAACTGACCTACTCTTTTACCAATATTTTTGACACCGTTCCAAATTCCTCTTCCGACGGTTTTTATTCCATTCCATATACCTCTTCCAACATTTCGAAAGAAGTTTCCTATTCTTCCAAAGAAACCCATTTTACTATATGTAAAAATCTAATGTCCACCTAGTCTCTTACGTTTCCTGTTGAGTTCCATAGCATTCTTTAACTGGAGCTCATACATTCTGTTTCTCCTCTGGTAGAAAACATATTCTGGGTCAACTCCTGTGTTCGCGTCATCTGCATAAAGTTGTTTATATCCCACTTCAGGGTTTGTATAAAACTCTTTCCATCTCATATTTGCATACCATGGTGGCAAACCTAACGCAGCGTCATTTGACATGGCAGTTTGCATTTGTACATCTGTTGGCACTTGACCATAGTTTGCCATTGCAGTTTGTATTCTAACTTCATTTGGAATATTCTCTGGGTTTGGTTGTCCAGGTTGCTGTGCATTCGCTAAGTTCTGTGCGTCCATTTAATATTAGATAAAAATATCTCTTACGAGTACATATACTGAACATTTGCAGGCATTGGTTCATCTTCATATTCTCTATATCTTTCTGCCACGTCAAATAAGTAAATGACACAATGGAAAAAACCTAAAACAAGTAGTCCTATTTCAAACCACATTTAGTTACCAATAAAATTTCTTTGTTATGACACTTTTTCCGGTTTATAGGACCTCTCTCATATTCTATCTTGTCATATCTAAACTCATAGTCATGTATATCCTCTAACCATCTCATAACACTTTCCAAACCACTTTTATCGGATGTAAAGTAAAAGCATGGATGGTTATGTAAAACGTCTAAAGTTTCTAAAGAGTCTCTCAAAGTCCAGTCTACTTGGTATTGAAAATCGTATGTGTTAAAGAACGGCGGGTCTACCATAAAGAAAACATTTTCCTTGTTTTTATATTTTTCATACAACTCTGTCCAACGACATCTCACAAACTCTATACCCTCAGTATATTTTTCTATGTTCTCTTTGAAAACGTTTGTATAGTTAAGATATAAAACGTTTGACATAAGTGTTTCAATGTCATGAACTCTTATAGAACCACTATACAATAGTCTAGAAGATATACTATCCCAGTCAATATACTCTGCTTTTTTCAAAACCTCTCTGACAGTATTTTTCTTATCTAATGGTATACGTTCCATCTTACCTATAGGTATCTTTTCTTTTAACTCTTTCAATATTTTGTTTGTGTCTGGTATATGTTTGAGACGGTCCATATAGTTGTCGAAGTCATTGCATATAATCTTTGAGTCTGGGAATATTGTATGGCACAAATGGGATATATAGAAACTTCCACCGAACAAATCTACAAATGTTAGACCATTCGGTAGTTTCTTAAGTTCTCTCAATAGAATATCTTTACATCTACTCTTATTTCCAAAGAAGGGTAACGGTGGTTTTGTAAAATTCATTTTATATATATAATAAAAATGTTTTTTCCTGAAAAGTGACAGAAAAGTGACAAAACATGTACGAAGAAGTCTTGAAAATTCAAGAGGGTAGAAAAGAGGTTAGAAAAGAGGTTATATCTAACCTTCTACCCTAAACATTATTTTTGTCTGATTTTACGAAGAAGTCTTGACAAAACATGAAAACATATATAATTTGTGAAAAGCTCCTGGAAGACCCGTATATAAGAACTTCATTTATACTAAACATCTTCGGGGCTAGAGGGCACGAAGTGCCTGGAAGCCCCACTCCCTTTTTTTTTTTTTTTTTTTTTTTTTTTTTTTTGATTCGGAGTTTTCAATATTGTTATAGTGAAAAATCGAATTTATCAACATTTTTTGCCTTCTTTCAATATTTGAATATGTACAATTTGGAGACTTGTTTGAGAGAATTCATAGAATTTATTCAAAAGTACGGAAAGAATATCAATAGTTTTAAAACAATTCATAGTATTTACTTGAGTGTACTTCGATCTTCAACAATTGTGAGGAGATTGGGACAAAGTTGCAATTCGGCACTTTTTGTAAAAAAAATGGGGTCATACTCATAATGAATAGAGACTTATAGCCAAGTCTTGATATCATGCAGGGAGAATATACATAGATAAGCAATTATATTTTATAGTAGTAGTATTCAGAAATTCTTACAATTTACAATACAATTTTCAAAAATGGATAAAGACTAATAGCCAAGTCTTGATATCATGCAGGGAGAATATACATTGATAAGCAATTATATTTTATAGTAGTAGTATTCAGAAATTCTTACAATTTACAATACAATTTTCAAAAATGGATAAAGACTAATAGCCAAGTCTTGATATCATGCAGGGAGACTCTCTACAAATACAAAAATTGATTATCATAAGGAAATACAAATTTATCAATTTTCATGTGAAAATTACATAAATTTGTTCTCCAATAAATAGCAATAATACTTTGAATGTTATATTAAGTAATATAGCTTCAGGTAAATAAGCTTACACTTCAAAAATATACTGTTTATTCATTAATTTTAAAAAAAGTCCAAATTATCTAATCTTGCTTACTCTTCCTTTAAACTTCTTTGTGCCAAATTTAATATTGCCTTCAAAGATGGAATAAGGACATTAGGTTCAAAAATATTTTATTATACTCATTCGAAATTAAAAATAATAAAATTTATATATATTAATTTCATTAAATCAAGGTTAAAAATCTCACCGGAAAAATAACCTCAGTGTGATAAATTTATCACCGGAAAAATTTACAATAAGGTTAATACCGAAAATATCGAAAAATCAACATTTAAGGTTAATTTAAGAGTATGCACTTTTGTCACCTACTCCAATTGTGAGAAATATTATTTTTCCAACTTCGATGATTGAAAACAATATAAAAATTGCTATCAAAATCGATATATATGTGCTGCAACATACTTGATTAAAAAGTTCTTTTGTCATTTTATTATGGATTCCCTTGAAGCTATCCTTCATAAAATCATCAATGATAAGGATTTCCGATTTGATATATTTAATTTGAAAGCAGACTATGATGTTTATGTTAAATTCCCTGCGGAATGTGAAAAATATAACATTTTCAATAATTCATTTTTCTTATCAATGGTCGAACATTTATACAACCTTGATAAAGATCAATCTACAACACAATTAATTGTCTTGTTTTTCAAGTTCATTGTTGAAAAAGTTAGATTCACACCTCGTTTGAATTTAATTCAATCAAAACGGATAGAAAAGTTTGGCAACCCAACAAACTCATTATTACACTCGACAATTGCATCATCAGTTAATAAAATAATGAAATCAGCACATTGGAATTCGGACTTACAAAACACTCCAGACTTATTTTACTCACTTGCGTTCTTACTTCCCTATTTGCATGAATGTATTAAAGGCATATATATAATAATTGATAATTTTGTAAATTTACATAATAAATTTGACGAAAATTACTTGGATAAGGTATCAAATGCACTTTACCTATTGTATAATTCCGGATCGCAAAATCAAGAGGATGTTTTTACTCTTACATTGCGAGTTATGATTGCAGCTAATGGATTACCTATGTATAAGCTTAGATCATACTTTATAGAAATGTATAGTGATAATTCTCAATATTATGATATATTAATATATGATGAAATCAAAGATAAAATTCAAAATTCAATTGAGGAAGAGCTTCCTAAAATTCAATTCCAATCTCGTCAAGAAATCATTTCTATAATCGATTCCCTTATTAAAAATTCATTTCCAGACCTTAAACTGGGAGATGAAGAAAAAAAGAAAATTTCACAAAAAGTTGATGATCTCTGCAGTTCTAATCAAAAAGTTAGAGAAGTTGAGCTGAAACTCAAGATACTAAAGGCATTAGCTTGGAAAGATATTTCTAAAAATCTTTATAGTTTGGTTGATGTTTGAATAAATTGTATTTTATAGAATGTTTATATCTATAATCTCATTAATTTTCTTATATTTGAATTTTTAAAAAATTCTTATGGAAAAAATAGAAATCGTCATTTATCTGGCTAGTAATATTAATATATTGATCGAAATGTATAATAATGTATTATCTCTTATTCATAAAACATAAATGTCATCGGAAACAAAATCAATAATTGTCCAGAACATACCAGAAAATCTGTGTAACATCACAGCACTGTACTCACATTTCAAAAAATACGGCCATATTCAATCAATACGTATCTCTTCTAAGCGCAAATCTATAATTCGATACGAAACTGTAGAGCAAGCCAGAGAAGCTGTTTATTCAACAGAAGCTTTTGGAAATAATCGATTTGTTAATATAATTTTTAATCAAAATGAGTTAAAATCAAAAGAAAACCTTCAACAATTTGTTAATTATTCAAAACTAAGAAAAAATGCTAGGATGTGCATGAAAAATATTAAGGAAGAGCAGCTTCAAACATTAAATCGCAGATTTTCCAGTTACAAATCTCAAACCGAAGAAATTTATTCACTACAAAATAATTTAGAATCACTTATCAACGAAGCTAAAAAGTACATGTCGATAATTAATGAATTGTCTGGTTTTGAAAGAGAAAAAACACGGAATCGAATAATCGAATTATCAGAACAAATAAAAGATTTAGAGGATAAGCTGGACAAGGCTACTATTAAATCAGCTCCTAATGAAGATGACAAATAGGTCAATTTAGAAAATAATATTAAAATTAACGATTCAGACTCATAATCTGGTCATTACTATGTTTGAAGAGCAAAATTTACCTACCAATTACTTTCTTTATTCTTATTTTAAATTAGAATTTGAAATTCAGACATTTCTAATCTGTTTATGGTATATTGTTTGTTGGTACATCAAATATCTTGATTAATATTGGTTTCTTGATAATGCATCGCAATTTATCTCAAATTTTGACGACTAGAAGTCTGATTTGAAATAAATTATCTTATTTTAATGATGAAAATAGATTTTATCACTACAATTAAGCAATATATCGTTATTTCATTATTATTTCTTTTCATTTTTATGTTGTAATAAAAAATAACATATAATTTACTAATAAACAAAAAAATAAGCATAAATTCAAGTTAGTATGGCTAAGTCGTGTACTGAGGCACTGCGCGCCTCAGTACACCACTTAGCGGTTTTGACACTTTACAAAACCATTAACGTATATTTTACAACACAAACGACAACACTAACTTAACCTTAAATATTTATAAAGCCGCCAACCACTTCACCTCACTAATGAAAAAATAAACGTTCTCACTTACAAAAGTATTGCAACTCCTCCCATTGCTGTGCTTCACATAACAGCTCATAATCTTCTGACTCACTTTCTTCTTCATATAGGTCAAAATCACTGTCAAAATAAATGTTAGTAAGTTTTGACAAAGCTAATGAAACACGTTTACCGTTTGTATCGTATGCTTGTATAAACTTTCCATTCTTCATTCCTTCATAAACGCTCAAACTAACTTTACCCTTTCTCCCTCGTATCTGATAGAATGTATTTTCACGAGGAACGAAGAACAAATTCTTGAACTCATGACCGTTGTAGTTTGTTATCTCAATAGTTTTCGTCATTTATATAAAAATAAAATAAAAATAATTTTAAAAATAAACTTAAAAATTAATGATATCACCACTCCCACACGTATGAAAACATAGCACAAAAATAAATTTAGGTGAAGTGGTGAGATCTCACCTGTTTTCTCACCTGTTTTTTCACCCTGTTGAATTTACACCAAAAATAATGCTTTGTCATGACTTCTTCGTAAATGATTTGTCAAGATTTCTTCGTAAATGTTTTGTCAAGACTTCATCGTAATGAGTGTAAATGACCCAAAAATAATGTTTAGGGTAGAAGGTTAGATCTAACCTGATATCTACCCTCATTTCTACCCTCATGAATTTTCATGACTTCATCGTAAATGCTTCATCGAACTTCTTCGTAAATGTTTTGTCATGACTTCTTCGTAAATGTTTTGTCAAGGTTTCATCGTAAATGTCTTGTCATAACTTCATCGTAAACACTTTGTCAAAACTTCATCGTATATGCTTTGTCAAGACTTCATTGTAAACACTTCATCGAACTTCATCGTATATGCTTTGTCAAAACTTCATCGTAAATGCTTTGTCAAGGTTTCATCGAACTTCATCGTAAATGCTTTGTCATGACTTCATCGTAAATGTTTTGTCATGATTTCATCGTATATGTTTTGTCGAACTTAAACGTAAATGTTTTGTCATGATTTCATCATATATGCTTTGTCAAAACTTCATCGTATATGTTTTGTCATGATTTCATCGTAAATGTTTTGTCATGACTTCATCGTAAATGTTTTGTCATGATTTCATCGTAAATGTTTTGTTATGATTTCATCGTAAATGTTTTGTCGAAACTTCTTCGTAAATGTTTTGTTATGATTTCATCGTAAATGTTTTGTCATGACTTCTTCGTAAATGTTTTGTCAAGACTTCATCGAACTTCATCGAACTTAAACGTATATGTTTTGTCATGATTTCATCGTAAACACTTTGTCAAGACTTCATCGTAAATGTTTTGTCATGATTTCATCGTAAATGTTTTGTTATGATTTCATCGTAAATGTTTTGTCGAAACTTCTTCGTAAATGTTTTGTTATGATTTCATCGTAAATGTTTTGTCATGACTTCTTCGTAAATGTTTTGTCAAGACTTCATCGAACTTCATCGAACTTAAACGTATATGTTTTGTCATGATTTCATCGTAAACACTTTGTCAAGACTTCATCGTAAATGCTTTGTCATGATTTCATCGTAAATGCTTTGTCATGATTTCTTCGTATATGTTTTGTCATGATTTCTTCGTATATGTTTTGTCGAACTTAAACGTATATGTTTTGTCAAGACTTCATCGTAAATGTTTTGTCAAGACTTCTTCGTAAATGTTTTGTCAAGACTTCATCGTAAATGATTTGTCAAGGTTTCATCGTAAATGATTTGTCAAGGTTTCATCGTAAATGCTTCGTAAATGCTTCGTAAATGTTGCTGAATTCAGCATAAAAATATTTTTAGGTGAGATCTCACCTGTTTTCTCACCTGTTTTTTCACCCTGTTGAATTTACACCAAAAATAATGCTTTGTCATGACTTCTTCGTAAATGATTTGTCAAGATTTCTTCGTAAATGTTTTGTCAAGACTTCATCGTAATGAGTGTAAATGACCCAAAAATAATGTTTAGGGTAGAAGGTTAGATCTAACCTGATATCTACCCTCATTTCTACCCTCATGAATTTTCATGACTTCATCGTAAATGCTTCATCGAACTTCTTCGTAAATGTTTTGTCATGACTTCTTCGTAAATGTTTTGTCAAGACTTCATCGTAATGAGTGTAAATGACCCAAAAATAATGTTTAGGGTAGAAGGTTAGATCTAACCTGATATCTACCCTCATTTCTACCCTCATGAATTTTCATGACTTCATCGTAAATGCTTCATCGAACTTCTTCGTAAATGTTTTGTCATGACTTCTTCGTAAATGTTTTGTCAAGGTTTCATCGTAAATGTTTTGTCATGACTTCATCGTAAACACTTTGTCATGACTTCATCGTATATGCTTTGTCAAGACTTCATTGTAAACACTTCATTGAACTTCATCGTAAATGCTTTGTCAAGGTTTCATCGAACTTCATCGTAAATGCTTTGTCATGATTTCATCGTATATGTTTTGTCATGATTTCTTCGTATATGTTTTGTCATGATTTCATCGTATATGCTTTGTCAAGACTTCATCGTAAATGTTTTGTCAAGACTTCTTCGTATATGTTTTGTCAAGACTTCATCGTATATGTTTTGTCAAGGTTTCATCGTAAATGTTTTGTCATGACTTCATCGTATATGTTTTGTCAAGGTTTCACCCTCATAACTTTGTCAAAACTTCATCGTATATGCTTCATCGAATTTAAACGTAAACACTTTATCATGATTTCATCGTAAATGTTTTGTCAAGACTTCTTCGTAAATGTTTTGTCATGATTTCATCGTAAATGTTTTGTCATGATTTCTTCGTATATGCTTTGTCAAAACTTCATCGTAAATGCTTCATCGAATTTAAACGTAAACACTTTGTCATGATTTCTTCGTATATGTTTTGTCGAACTTAAACGTATATGTTTTGTCAAGACTTCATCGTAAATGCTTCATCAAACTTAAACGTAAATGTTTTGTCAAGACTTCTTCGTAAATGTTTTGTCATGATTTCTTCGTAAACACTTTGTCATGACTTCTTCGTAAATGATTTGTCAAGGTTTCATCGTAAATGTTTTGTCATGACTTCATCGTATATGTTTTGTCAAGGTTTCATCGTAAATGTTTTGTCATGACTTCATCGTATATGTTTTGTCAAGGTTTCATCGTAAATGTTTTGTCATGATTTCTTCGTATATGCTTTGTCAAAACTTCATCGTAAATGCTTCATCGAATTTAAACGTAAACACTTTATCATGATTTCATCGTAAATGTTTTGTCGAACTTAAACGTATATGTTTTGTCATGATTTCATCGTAAATGTTTTGTCATGATTTCTTCGTATATGCTTTGTCAAAACTTCATCGTAAATGCTTCATCGAATTTAAACGTAAACACTTTGTCATGATTTCTTCGTATATGTTTTGTCATGATTTCTTCGTAAACACTTTGTCATGACTTCTTCGTAAATGATTTGTCAAGGTTTCATCGTAAATGTTTTGTCATGACTTCATCGTATATGTTTTGTCAAGGTTTCATCGTAAATGTTTTGTCATGATTTCTTCGTATATGCTTTGTCAAAACTTCATCGTAAATGCTTCATCGAATTTAAACGTAAACACTTTATCATGATTTCATCGTAAATGTTTTGTCGAACTTAAACGTATATGTTTTGTCATGATTTCATCGTAAATGTTTTGTCAT